ACAACAACTATCTTACAGGTCTGCTTGCTGCCAATCTTATTTATGTTCATCCTGTATGAACCATCACACTATCAAAGTTACCTTATTAATAAAATGTGAGGTTATATTACTCTTTTCCTTAAATATCTTCAACGGTTCTCTATTGCATGGTGAACAAAGCCCAGTTTTTTTTTTAATGTTTTATTTATTTTTGAGAGAGACAGAGTGTGAGCGGGAAGGGCAGAGAGAGGGAGACACAGAATTGGAAGCAGGCTCCAGGCTTTGAGCTGACAGCATAGAGCCCCATGCAGGGCTTGAACCCACAAACCGTGAGATCATGACCTGAGCCGAAGTCGATGCTTAACCGACTGAGCCACCCAGGGCTTCCCCGAAATTAGCATTATCTAGTCTGAAACTGCCATTCATGCATTCATTCATTCACTCATTCAGTAAATATTTATTGCATACTTACTGTGTACCCTACATCATTCTGGATACAGTAAATATAGTGATGACAAAATAGCTTACATTTCAGTGGGAAGGTGGCAACTCTTACAACATCCTTTTATAACATCTGATCTAGTATGATCGAGGGATAATTGTCCTGCAAGACTCTGTTTATGCTGTTCTTAGTTCTCAGTAATCTTCCCCCATTTAACAGCAAAATCCAATGCTAAAATCTCCATGTGGTTGAGATTTAACAGCACTTTCCTTTACATTTCCTCAGTGGTTTGTTTATATCTATATTATAGTACAAAGTAAACTTGTCTTATTTTACTTAATGACTTACATGTCCATCTCACCTTAAGAGAAACTGAGGGAGGAGAACAGGTTTTATTAATCTTTGTACCCTTATTATGCTTTGCATACAGTAGGAACTCTCCGAATGATTATTGTAATAATATAAATACAAGAAAACACTGCATGTTATTGCAAGGTGGGCGTAGGGTTACAGTTATATAACAAAAGTTATCCTAAGTACTTTTCACAGATGATTTCATTTAATCCATATAACTTCACACTTTGGGAAACAAAGAACAAGGGAAATTAAATAATTTATGTAAAGGTCACAGATGGTGGCTATAACAGAACATAAATCCAGATTTTTCTGAATACGAAACTCAACCCTTTTCTAACTCATGACACTCCACTCTGGTTTGTTACTGTCAATACTATGAATGTAATTTTAATTTAGTGGGCCAGATGCACGTTGGCCAAAGATGGGCTTAAATTATAAAAGCTGAGATTTCATGAAAGCTCTTGCCCCATCTGTTCCATGATTTCATAAAGAAACAAATGTTTTATAGATTTGGGTGTTCTTTTTGGTCTATAGGTACTGTCAAAAAATGCACAGCACAAAACTAAAAAAAGAGTGGAAATTTAGCCATAGTTTCGATAAAACACACTAGTAAAACCTGAATATCCAAAAACAAACATATCTTTTCTGAGGAAATGTATTGCATGTTAAGAGAGGAAAAAAGTTGTTGGTTTTGTTCTCTCCTCCATGCTTTCTCTTTTTCTTAAATCACTTTCAGTTTGTGTTCTAAATTTTACACAAGAGATAAGCTGCAATTCTACTGTTACTAACCCATTTTTGGTAACTTTGAGCAGATTTCTTAACCAGTCAACTATTTTAGTCTCTTCATCTGTAAAGAAATACCCAAAAAGATGAATACTGAACTTCAGATAATAAATTTGTTATCGAACAAAGGGGTTAGAATTATCCCCAAGAAGAAACTTGTACTTGTACAAGTACTTCGTACTGTACTACAACGCTTTGAACAATTATAATATTTGTAACTTATTAACTATAAAATTACTTCCTCATTTCCAAAGTATTATTCTGCCCTTTGCTTGATATTTAATGTGGTATCATTTGGTTTAGGACACACAGTACTGTGTAACAATGAAATATCAGACTCTGTGGACTACTAGTTATCATTCAAAATAATCATAATCTCATGATGGTTTAATAAATTTTTACTTGCACTTATTTTATGTAAAATGCAATATAAAAATAAATGACCTGGTCATCTTCTCCAATAATTATCAACTTCAGCTTATCTGTCCTGGTGATTGTAAACGAAAAACATTTCTGACATACATTACTTTTGAGGGTGTTTTGTTTTAAAAAGTCTTGGAAATCAAGTTGATAATAATAAAAACTACAAAGTAAATAGCAATAATAATTTACTAATTTTTCTCCACTTTTCCACTCTTGAGTGAAGAGAGAACTCTAGGAAGAAAAGGGCCAAGGTTCTTAGGTCCTAGGCATTATTCTTCTCATTGGTAAAATGGGGGTAATAAAACCTAATCTAATGAGGATTGAGATTACATTTGTCTTGCACAAAACGGCATAAAATCTAGTGCTCTGACACCATTTGAATGATCTTGGCCAAGTTACTTTACTTCTTTGAACTTTCATTTTACTCATTTGTAAAATGGGGCTAGTCTTTCTAGCTTATATAGGTGTGTTGTGAGGGTCAGATTTGAAAAAAATGGCATGTGAAATGTTTTTATAAAGTATTAGAAAATGTAGAACTAATTATTTCCAAAGCAAAATACAATTTTCTCTGCTACATAGTGCTGCAGATTCTTCAGTAAAATATTATATGGAAAAGGATTTAAAGTCTTTTCTCTATAGGATTCCCTTCTTACTGTGTCTGCTTTCCTAGGGAAGTAAGATTTAATTCTATATTTGTACTTGTCTAGGTTATAGGAAAGTCATCAGTGGCAAAGGATAGCAATTGTCTCATGTTAGTTAATGCTAATCATTCAAGAATAACTGAACAGTTAATGAAATTTCTGCCTCTTCTAGTATATAAAAAATCTTTGTGAAACATAGTTTTCTATGTGCTATAAATGATGGTCACCTATAGAGATTTCTTCTCTAATAATAAACAACCAACTTGTATATAATTATAATTAAATGATTGTGAATGTCAACCAATTGAAAACTATGAAACTATACTCTTAAAGTATAATCTTCCTTGAATCAGAGAAACATGTAAGCTAATATAAGAAACAAATAGTAAAAGGAAGAAAGAAAAATCACAAGATATTTCTAATTGTTGATCATTTTTTTCTTTATTAGTAATTCATTTATTTTCTTAACCAGTGATAAAGTTAAATTGCAGAAGGGAGAAATTTCATAAAGCTGAATATTTTGCTTATTAATTTTCCAGAATGTAGTTATGATGCATCTAACTCTGTAACAGTTGTCAACTGTCTCCTTTGAAAATTAATGATTTGCAACACAGATGGCTGCCTCTTATTAGAGACCTAGAACTCAAAATGTTAAGGAATGGAACAAATTATGTTTATAACTACTCTTTTTTTTTTTAATTTTTTTTTCAATGTTTATTTATTTTTGGGACAGAGAGAGACAGAGCATGAACGGGGGAGGAGCAGAGAGAGAGGGAGACACAGAATCAGAAACAGGCTCCAGGCTCTGAGCCATCAGCCCAGAGCCTGACGCGGGGCTCGAACTCACGGACTGCGAGATCGTGACCTGGCTGAAGTCGGACGCTTAACCGACTGCGCCACCCAGGCGCCCCAAAAGGCACACATTTTAAACAGTGAGGACAGTATGAATATTCCAGGATTCTAGAAAGAGTCCCTCCAAAATAAAGTATATCAAAAAGTTGTCTTTAATTTGGTCTATATGTGGCTTAATGCTATTTATTGAATTTTCCATGTATGTAGGGCAAATGTCACATCCACAACACAAAACTAAATGTGATTGGAAAGATGTGACATTGTTGCAACATTGTTACATGCTGACACAAAACCTTACATCTAGTCCAAACCCTTTTTTCTCTGTTATTTTCATAATACTTGGATTTCATGGGAACCCTCGAAACAATACAGTAGTTCCCCACCCCCCCTCCCCCACTTATCCATGGGGGATATGTTCCAAGAATCCCAGTAGATGCCTAAAACCATGGATAGTATTAAACCCTGTGGATACAGTTTTCCTCTGCATCCATACATATGTTATAGTTTAATTTATAAATTAGGTACAATAATAGATTGACAATAACTAATAATAAGATAGAATAATTGTAACAATATATTGCAATAAAGTTATGTGAATGTGGTCTTTATCTAATCTTTTTGTTCTGTACTCACCCTCCTTGTGATGATGTAAGATGATAAAATGCCTTCCATGATGAGATGAAATAAAGTGAACGACGTAAATACTATGACTTGATTAGGCTACTATTGACCTGCTGATACATCAGGAGAATCATCTGCTTCCTGACCATGGGTAACTGAAACCATGGAAAGTAAAACTGTGGATAAGGGGGGACTATAGTATAATGAAATTCCCAAAAAAGTAAACTGTATCTCTTGTAGCTCAAGTCAAGGATTTCAAATGGTGAGAAAGCAATTTACCACAACATCCACAGGTTTCTGATCAATGTTATAGACAAATGGTGACTTTGGAGACCATCCACATAGGTTTAAATCCTGCTTCCACCAGATGATAGCTGTGTAACATAGGGTAAGTTGCTTAACTTCTCTGTCCCTCAGTTTTACCTGTCCCCACGTTAAATAATGACAGTAAAGCTACCTTATCTCCCAGGGTTTTGAGGATCAACGAGTTACTATTTGTACAGTACTTGGAATACGGTACACATAATATAAATGTTTGTTAAATTAATTTAACGTAATTGGTAATAAATGGTTACTAAGAGTTTACTGAGAGCCTTCTTAGCACTCTGTTTTTGTCAGTAATGAAAAATATTTTTTTTTTTTTAAATCTGAAAAATTTCCTTGGCTTACTTTAAAGTCACCTGGTATCCATTAAACCTTACTGTGCCTGGTGCCTTGAGGACACCAAATACGTTTATGTGGTCTCGCCCTCAGGAACTTAAGTCTTTCTGCATTAAGTTTGGCACAAATGCTCGCAAAGTTAAAAGGAACGGTAACAAAAAATACTACAGTGCCACATACCTGTAAGTAAAGCTATGTGAAAAATCAAGTGCTCTATAATGTATATTAACAAAACGCAATTATCAATTGTGAACGCATTTATTCTGACATCAACACAGAAAGCTGCTCAATCCAATGTCTCACATCAACAGATACTGTGCAGAAATGGTATTTTCCTTATCGCCACCTGGGAGACGTCTGATAAAACCTTGAGAGTGACCCCACAAAATCATGGCGAATGAAAACCGCACTGGAAACATCACGGGGCTTGCGACTGATGCCTGAGAACCGGGAGGACAACGTGGTGGGCTCAGCGAATACCTTGAATCTTCGGAGTAAAGGGAGCTTCCGAGCCACGGTCGACATTAGGGACCAGGTTGTTTCCGCGGCTGAGGCTGACCAGTCCGCACTCGCCAGAGGCAAGAACTAGGGGGTTCCCCTCGCTTGGGATCTCCTACACGCACGTGCGGTTGCCCGGGCCTGCGGGGAGAAGGCGACCTTCGAGCGAGCAGCCGAGGGATTGCGGGGCACAAAGATAGCAACCCGAGCCCCCTTGCGGCCTCCCGAGGCCCCGCTCCAGGGCTGCGAGACGACGGGTTCCTCGAAGCTAACGGTTCCCACGCCGCCTCCCGTCTCTCTGGGATGAGCATCCGACCCAATCCCGGGCCACAACACGCAGTTCGGCGGGCCGCAGAGTCGCCCCTCTGGGTTAGCCTGCACCGCCGCCCCCGAGTCAGGCCCCTTCACCCCACCGCCCTCGTCCAGGGCGACACGTCACTTCCGGCGCGCGCGCCGGCCCGCGGAGAAAGACCGCGGCCGGCGAGGGGGGCGAGCGAGGGGGGCGGGGCGGGGGAAAGGGGAGTGTCTGCCCGCTGCCGCCGCCGCAGCTACCGCTGTAGCCCCCGGGGCTGGGGAGTTCGCTGAAGCCCTGCCCTCCGAACCGGCCCAGGCTGCTCGTCCGGACTCGGGGCGCCAGCGCCAGGAGCACCCACCGCTTTGACCGGTGCAGAAGCGGGACTTGCCTGAGCCTGTGGAGCGGCGGGGACGGCCCCGGCCCCCCTCCCCTCCCTGACCCCTTCTTTCCATCGCCCCAGTCATGGGGAACGCAGCGACCGCCAAGAAAGGCAGCGAGGTGGAGAGCGGTGAGTCAAGGGCCGGGTCTGGATACCTACCGGGCGGGCCGGCGCGGGGCACCGATCGCCCCTGCGGGTCGGAGCCCCGAGGCCGCGGGCATGGTCCAGGCCTCGCAGCGGCCGCCGGGAGCTGCTCGAGGGGGCCCTGGGGACCAGCTGCCTTCCTCTTCCATCCCCACCCCCCCCCCACCCCAGCTCCGGCGTGAGGGCCCAGCACGGAGGGCCGGATGGAGAGATCGAGGGAGAAGAGTGGTCCCCGAAATTCCCTTTCTCTATAGAGCGAGGGGGACGCACTCGCTAGAACAATTCCCCAAATATGGTCCGGATAATAAGTCCATAGAACCATCCAAGCCCTTGCTTCCCCTGCCCACGACCACCTCTTTGGGAGCCACAGGTAGTGCTGTGGGCAGAGTTGGCTCTTTTCCCTCCATCACTTGGGGCCAGCCCAACCTATCACAAGGTAAGGGGCTACTAATCTGGCTTTCCGCAGGTAAGGTTAATTCTGAGCAAGCGGCTGTGTTTTAGAGACCCTTCCGTCTCTTCAGATTAGGAATGGAAGATACAACAAGACCAAAGTGCAACTTTCTCCTTGAAAAAAGCAAGGCAGGTTTGCCTTTTCTTGAGACATTCAAGACTCTCCTACGGTGTCTGTAAACTTAAAGGTCACTCACTTAAAGTGCTTACAGAATATGGTGAATTTCTTCTGAAAGCTGAAAGTGCAGGCACCCTACATTTTACACCAAATAATAAAAAGTCATGCAAATTGAATTTCTTTATAGTTAAACAAATAAATAAGTAGATAAATAAATAAAATCAGGATAGCTGTGAAAGAAAAACTGGTGTGTCTTTGTCCGGTTCCTCTCAGATTTTATAATTCAGAATGATCAGATAACAAATGGTATTTGTTTTATCACCAGGAGTAAATGACATCTCAGCACTTGAGGGAATGCCAGATCATTTATTTCCGTTTGTGTAAATAGTGTCTTTTAATGTTTCTATGTTTGTAACCTGTTTTAGGTTAATTTTGTAATTTGGCATGAAGGAAATAGCTTTTTTTTTTTTTCTATATCAACAAAGCAGAATCGATTTGAAAAGATTTAGTCGTTCGTTTTGTTTAATGTGAATAATGAGATCAGATTATATGGTTTATGTTTCACCAGTAAGGTTTTAATTTTCAGGAGCCCCAGAAAAGTTTGAGATACTATCATACAAATTATCAATGACCATACTTTAGTATGTGATAGGGAAATTTTTAAAAGCCAATATAGAGGTAGAACTTTGTTATCTTTTCTTTTTCAACTGCAAAAATGTAGTAACTGTACAGAAAGTATAGGAATGTGAAAAGTGTAAAGAATTTTTTGTGTCTGATGAGTTATCATTTTGCCTTTTAAGGTAAAATGTACTAATTGTGTTACAAAAAAGTATGCTTGATAATTGAATCATATCAGTGATTTTCATTAGCAAATACTGGCCTGTACAATGTTCATGTTTTTACATTGTAAAAAGAATGATAATAGACTCTGATCTGTATATTTCCATTATTAAGTTACCAAACTAATTCTCCCTTAGACAGTACTAATTTGAACCTCATAACTATGGGATAATCTCAGAATATTTACAGAAAACAGAATAAACTTTAAATATGTATTTCAATTATTCCTACGAATAAATTCTTTCCTGAGCTTTAACTATTAGTGACAGTCTATTTAGTAAGTATGTTAGCCAGCTTTTTATGCAGTTTATTTTTTTTTTTACGCAAGTTTATTTATGGCAACTGAAGGTCATTATAGTAGTTTGAATAAATGTTGTAAAGTGATAAAAGAAAATAGCAAATGATGTCTCATAGGGACAATTATTGAAATGTCACGTGTTGATCACTTTGTAATTTCATTTGGAGCAATGTTATCAGATGTGTGTTGCCGCTGTTGTATAGTTAATAAAGTTTATTGATATCTCTTAAAACTTAATGAAAGAACAGCTTTTACCATTACAGACCTAACTTCTGTTTACTTTTATTTTTTTAATTTTTTTACGTTTATTTATTTATTTTGAGAGAGAGAGCGCGTGCATGTGCAAGTGGGGTAGGGGCAAAGAGCGAGAGTGAGAGAGAGAGAGAAAGAGAGAGAATCCTAGGCAGGTTCCACACAACGCAGAGCCTGATGTTGGGCTCTAACTCACTAACCATGAGATCATGACCTTAGCTGAAGTTGGAGGCTTAACCGATTGAGCCACCCAGGTGCCCCTCTTCTGTTTATTTTTTAAAATTATTCTTGACAATATATACCTTTCAAAATTTGAATGTAGTTATTTAAACTTTAGCTGGTAGTAAGAGCATAAACTTTCAGAAATATAAGCGATCTTAGAGATCAGCCTGTATAATCATTCCATTTCAAAGTCAAAGAGCCTGACCTCTGAAGAAGCTGAAGGTGAGATCATATTATTACTGATATCAGAGTAAGGAATAGAATCTGGTGCTCTGATTGCATTCTGCATCACTAAATAATCAATTAATACATACATTTTGAAAATGTCTATCAAGTGTATTAGTTCTGTTTGGAGACTCGGTAGGTAAAACCTCAAGAAATTTACAGTGTAGTGTGAGAAAGAAAATATACTTATTGAAGTTAACTGAAAAGTAAATTAGGATAACTGCTAACATTATGGAAAGTAAGATTAGAACTCTGAAAATGACCAATAGGAAAATGTTTGATTTGAAATGATGATTAAAATGTATAACGATTATTATTTGGGGTTTGATCAGGACCATGCCTCATAGAGATGATTCTGGAGTTTCATTATAAAAAGATTCCAGAGGAATGAAGCTTTGGCCATTTGGTGCTTCTGTTGTATTCTATTGAAATCTGTCTATTCCAGGAGGGCACCTGGGTGGCTCAGTCGGTTAAGCGTCCGACTTGGGCTCAGGTCTCACAGTTTGTGGGTTCCAGCCCCACGTCAGGCCCTGTGCTGACAGCTCAGAGCCTGGAGCCTGCTTCAGACTCTGTGTCTCCCTCTCTCTCTGCCCCTCCCCCACTGGCACTCTGTCTCTGTCTCTCAAAAATGAATAAACTTAAAAAAAAAAAAAGGAAAGAAATCTCTCTACTCTTGGAATAAAACATTTTCCAGGGTAGCACTTGGAGATGCCATTCTCATTTCCACACTTTCTGGAGATAACATTAAGTTGGGTACCTGTTGTTCTGTTGCCATGAACTAAGAAATTGTATTAAGATATCTTGAAAACTTATTGAAAGAACATCTTTTACCATTACATACCTAACTGTGTATTTAAAAAAAAAAATACTCTCAAAAATACGTGTTTCAGAATTCGAATGTAGTTATTTAAACTTCTGCTAATACACAGAAGCATAAATTTTAGAAACATGAGTATATAATTTTCTGAGAAGTTTTAAACTCTTGTCATCCAAAATGGTTCTACTTATCCAGTCTCCCACTCTTACTTTACCCACAGTTGCCAACATAAAAAGCAGATGCCACTATTTTATCATGGGAAAGTTCTTTTCGTTTATTTCATTTTTTAAGACCCATTAGACCCCACAGGTTGCCTGTGGGGCTTTGTATTACACTCTCATGGCAAAGGTGTTGAGACCAATGGGTGAAGTGTTGATAGAGACTTGGAGGCAGATTCTCCTGTGACTGCAAGTGGTAGAGCCACCTTGTAACCTAGTGTTTACATAATGATCTTTGAATGTTTTCCCAAGTATCTGTCTTAGGAACTTTAAGGTGAATAGAAATTAATCAAAGAAAGTCTCCAGTAGACTAGGTTCAACCAAAATGCAAGTTTCATAACAACTAGCATTTTTGGAGGGCTTACTATGAGCCTGGTTCTCTGTGTACTTTGCATGCATAGTTTCACTTAATCTTTCCAAGCCTGTGAAGTAGTTTAGTTATTTTTCCATTTTATTTATTTTTTTTTTAATTTTTTTTTTCAACGTTTATTTATTTTTGGGACAGAGAGAGACAGAGCATGAACGGGGGAGGGGCAGAGAGAGAGGGAGACACAGAATCAGAAACAGGCTCCAGGCTCTGAGCCATCAGCCCAGAGCCTGACGCGGGGCTCGAACTCACGGACCGCGAGATCGTGACCTGGCTGAAGTCGGACGCTCAACCGACTGCGCCACCCAGGCGCCCCTATTTTTCCATTTTATATATGAGGAAATAGAGGCTCAGAGAGACTAAATGACTTGCCTAAGGTTGTACAGCGAGGAAGACAAGGAGCAACATTTGAACCTAGGCAGCCTAACCCCAAACCCGAAATTAACCACTGTGTGAACAGCCTATGCGTATCCAATGGAAAAGCTAATTCTCAAACACACAGAATAGCTCAGACTTTATTTTGTTTCAGTTTATTGTCAGTTACAGGAAATTTTGGTTGTTTTCAGTAGTGACTTTATTTGTATATATTTAATTCTTAGAGTTATTGTTTCTGGTACTGTTCTCTAAATTCAGTTTCCTCATCTGTAAAATGAGGACAAAAGATTAAGTTACTTTGAAAATCTTTAGGCTTAATATGGTATAATTTCAAATTAAGCCATATAAATTGATTTATATACTTAAACCCTTCATTACTATTAGTATTTGTATTTAATTATTTTTTCTCATTTGTGAATACATACTTTCTCTTCCTGAGAAAAAGCCAATCAAAAACTTACTATTTGAACTTGTATCACCATTTTGAAAAGTATTTAGAAATTTGCATTTTACCATGGTTTAGAGGAGCACCATCCAATCAGACTTTCTGCTGTGATGGACATGTTTCTGTGTTGTCTAATGTGGTAGCCACTAGCTGTATGTGGCTCTTGAGCACTTGAAATGTGACCAGGGCAACTGAGGAACTGAATTTTTAACTTACATGTGGCTATTAATGTTTGGTGTAGTGGACAGCACAAATTTAAAACAGAGCTGTCTTTACATGTAATAAAAATGCTAACCCATCTTTCCATCATCTTGGTAACTGGTAGATACTCAACAAGTGTGTGTTGATAAACAGAATGCTGGACTGATCTTTTCTCATCCTAAGAAGTAACTTATTTCTAAAGCATTTCCCCTGAATAAGCCTTTATAAACTTAGTGAACATTACTGTAGCTTAGTGATTTGTGTGTCATGTATAAAGTTCACTACAAAGTTCATTTCCATATTGGGTTCTACTAGAATTAATTTGTTTTA